TTAAATTATGGGGCATTTACAAGCATACCACCCACCCAATTCCTACATATTTACATATTTAACACCTAAAATAACACCATTTGACGCTTATACCAACCAAGTATTTCATGTCGTATAAAAAAATACCAGTATTTGAACTTTTAAAATGTGAAATATATATTTTCATCCATAGGTAAGGTGGCGTGCATGTAAAAATTAAAATTTTGGTGTTAAATGTGTAAATACGTAGGAAGTAAGTAGACAAGGATAAGCAAAAGAGAGGAAGACTACAACATTGAAGGAGTTGTAGAATCCAAGAGGAAAACGAGAGCTTACGGGCATAGCTGCTGAGAACCAAGGAGAAGAGGAGAGATTATTACGTCCGTCGTCCGGACACCGAGCTGCGTCCGGGCGACGACCATGATACAGCGGAGGTCCATGAGCATCCGGACGACGGACATAATAATTTTTCGGAGATGGGAGAGCAAAATATTCTAGCAGTAGATAGAGATGGAGCATTAGGCAGAAGAGTTCAATAATGAATGATAAAACAAATAGAATTTTACAGGCAAAGAAAAGAACTTTGTCTGAAAACTTGTAATTCGAAACTTAAGCTAGACCTGCTACAAAAACAAGCAGTTTATATACTACAGTAGTTTGAGCGAAAAGAATGATGCTGCATAGGAGTTTTATAGGCCAAGAATAAGAAAGCTAAATCAATTAATTTCAATATAACAGTTATACGGGGCATTTGCATACCACCCAACTCCTATGTATTTACATATCAAAACACCATACCACCCAATTCCTATGTATTTACATATCAAAACACCTAAACTTCACTTTTTATAGTTATACCATCCAAGTCTTTCAGAACACATAAGAAAATACCACCATCTTAACTTTTAAAAAAGTGAAATACAATTATTCTTGCAAGGAGAAGGTGGCATGTACTTGACAATTGAAGTTTAGGTGTTAGATGTGTACAAAAAAATTGAGTGGTATCTTATGATGTTCAATAACATGAATGTAAAACACTAGAATACCATGGATTATTCACAGATTGTCCTATCCTATCAAAATGATTCATAGGAGCTTATGTTGTTGGGCCAATTGTAGGAGTAATTGATCAATAGTCAATCTTAGATTAGTGGGTATCCTCACAATCAATATCATTGTCATTGTCATCTAAGAATCTCCAACAACAACCAAAAATAAAGAAAAACGGCAAAAGAGAGGGAATCTCCAACAATGTATAGCTTGCAAATCAGCCCAGTGCCTCCCACAATTTGGTATAAAGCCTCGTTTGAGGTCCTCAAGTCTTGATGTTTGATATCAACCTCAATTTTACAAATTTTTTCTCTACATTAACACATTAAGACATTCCATATCTAGAAATGTGCGCAGAATAATCCATTAAATTACCAAACTGTTCAAAAAGATTTATCCAACATTTGAACTTTTTCCACTTATTTTAAGGACAGTGAAGTGCAGAGGCAGAAGTTCATGTAAATCTTTGTTCATTTGATCCATATCTTCTCTATGTCATATAATGAAGAAGTGGAGCAATAAAAAGAAATTTATCATTCCTGTAAATACAGGCAAATGGAGCAACAAAGGGATATATGCAAGTGTGGTTTTGCTTTACCATTAGGTTAATTATTGAATATTGCCAAAATGAAACAAAGTTAATCTGTGTAGTCATGTTCTAATTTGTTTTAAAAATTTCACTCTTTGTCCCCTTCTATTCTTGATTCCCTTTTTGAATCATTCTCAAGTCATTGGTTTGCCTGAAAACTCTACGAATTAAATGAACGAAACTTGAAGTTAAGCTTACGAAACACATCGCTCTTCAAATATTGACTTTGGCTAACACTGCACTGGGCTACTGTGAATCATGGAATGTTCAGTACATTTGAGTTATCTAATCCAATTAGATGAGCTACATGGGATTGATGGACTCTCACAAAAATCAGCATTAGGTTGACAAGGGATATACGTCAAACAGGAAGGCATTGCATAATCAAGAAATGGATTGCCAATCGTCGCCTTGTAGATGAAAAATTCAATCTTAGCAAAAGTTGCTGGCTTAGTAAAGGATAGAAGAGAGGATAAGATTATTTTACTTTTTTCCATTGCTGCTTAAATCCCTCCTCAACTTCTTGTAACTATAATACCTGTTTAATTTTAATACATCCATGCCATTTTAGATGTTTATTTCGTCACATGAACAAGAATACAGTCCCTCAAAATGTGTCTATGATTTGTCTTCTCCTTTATTACCAGTTCTCCTATTCATTTTTCCACACCTCTCTCTCCTCTATTAAAGGCCACAGCGCCAAAGTTAGAGCTCATTGTCCTTTCAATAAGATTATTTTAATTTGATAGATCCCAATCTAGTTCTAGTTTCCTTTTGCATGATATTTTATGTTTGGTATTATTTGGGAAACCTAACCTTTGATACACCAATTGAAGCCTTGTAGGGCTACCCTTAGTATTTTTTAAAACCCCAAACCAGACAAAACAATTAATGTTAGGGATAGGAAGTGTTATCTCCACATACAAATCTTGACCATTAATTTGTCAACACGTAACTGTATTCAAGAATTTTGGAACACTCAATTTTTTTTTTTGAGGTAAATTGGGTTTAAGGAAAGATAGGTTTATCATTTATTTAAATTTAAATCACTAGTATCTTGATTATTTGATGGGTTGTTGATACTCCTATGCTCAATCTAAGCCAATTCAACTTGCAAAATTTTTTTTTCATAACTCATCCATGTGAGCAGTCAAATTAGTCTTTGCATAATTTTTTTCAATTCATGGTTAAGTTATTGAGGTTGATTATCAGACATCTCTTGGGTTATGTTATGGATGCATGGTGTAGAATTTAGGAGGAACTTTCTTATAGGAAAAAACTCTCTAATTTCTTATTAAACAAATAACAAATATATTTATAATTCAGACTAACCCTCTTACAATTAGAGGGAAATTCAAATCATCATGGTGAAAAGGAAATAAATAAAACACAATAATGCATAACTAAGGGAAAATAATTTCTTCCCTCAAATGTAACAGCGGATCATAGTTTCCTAAACATTATGCATATCAACACTCCCTCTCAAGTTGGGTTGTCTATGTTACACATTCCAAACTTGTTGCTAAAATCACAAAAATGATGCTGAGGAAGAGATTTAGTAAGAATGTCAGCAATTTGATACTGAGTTTGGATATAACTTAGCTTAACAATCCCTCTCTTGACCAGCTCAGAGATGAAGTGCATGTCAATCTCCATATGTTCGGTTCGACAATGGTGTGTAAGATTCTTTGAAATATTGACAGTTGATCGACTATCACCAAACATCTTAATATTATTTTGATTCTGTGTGAAACTTCACAAGTAGTTTTCTTAGCCACATTTTTTCACAAATTCCTAGGGTCAGGGCAAGATACTTTGATTATGCTTTGCTTCTTGCACTACAACTTGCTTTTCACTTTCCACGTAACAAGGTTACCCTATAGTAACTCATGATAGATTTTCTATCAATCAGTTCAACTGCCCATCTAGCATCAGTGTAAATCTCTATGTCATGATTCTTAATTTTCTTGACTATCAATCTACGTCCTAGAGTCATCTTTAGATATCTCAGGATTCGAAAGACCACTTCTAAATGATTTTCATTTGAATTTTTTATATTTTGGATCACTATGCACAAAGAAAAAGCAATGTCAGGTATTGTATGTGACAAATAAGTTTCCCGACAAGTTTTTGATACCTCCCTTTCTCAACTGGTTTGTTATCCTCTACTTTCGATGCTTGTTGATTAAATCATCAGAGTATCTCTTGATTTACATTCCAATATTTTTGTCTCCTTTAATAAGTCAAAGATATATTTCTTCTAGGATATGACAATGACTTCTTTGGATCTAGTTTTTTCCATTCCCAGTAAGTATCTTAAAGTTTCATTTTTCTTTGATCTCAACCTCAAAAGTCATTATTCTTTAATTCTTCAAGTTCCCTTACATCATTGCATATGAGAATAATGTCATCTACATATAAAATAAAGATGGTTATCATATCTTATTTATTTGATTTTACAAACAGAGTGTGATCAATCAGAAACTAATAGTACTCATTACTAAGAATACTCTTGGTGAATCTTTCAAACTATGCTCTAGGAGATTGTATCAACCCATACAATGATTTTTTTTTGTTTGCACAACATATGATTATTTGTGTTATTCCTTAATCCTGGAGGTATTTTAATATACACTTATTTCTCAAGATCCCTATTAAAAAGTACATATATATTATCTTATAAAGATTTACATACTCCCGACAAGCACCTTGCAAAATAAATAATTTACAAGTCTTCTTATATGGAACAAATAGCTAAGTGTCAAGACATAGTAAATGAAATAACATGAACAACTTTTTATAGCAAAATAAAGATCTATATTTTTTTCCTAACGACTACTTCAATCAATGTCATTTTAATTTAGAAAAAATTACATATATACCACCGTTCTTATGCATTTACACATATATAGCACCTAAATTTTAATTTTTACATTAATAACACTAAACTCTCTCATATCACACCACAACTACTAGTTTTTAAGATGTTGAAGCATAGCTAAAACGATATAGACCTAAAAATCAAATTTTAGGCTTTAAAAATACATAGGAATTGTGTGATATATATGTAAAACCATTGCTGGTTAGACAGACAAAAAGATAATCACACACATACCACATAATGCTGTATATTTACAAAAAGATAATCACACACATACCACATAATGCTGTGTATTTACATATCTAACATCTATACTTAATTTTTTATATTTATACCACCCAAATCCTTCACATCACATCAAAAATACTACCTTTTGACTTTTAAACAGAGAATTACACCTTTTCATGCATTAAATAATCCGGCATATATGTAAAAGTTAAAGTTTTGGTGTTAGATATTAAATACATAAGAATATGGTTGTATGTATAATGCATGTAAATCGTTAGCTGTTTACAGCGAGGTACATCAAATATAAGACTAGAATTACAGCTATTCGAAAAAGCATTATAATGTTCTCCCATATTTTACATGTCCTTTAAAGTAAATAAAAATTTACAAAAAAAACCCACACTTTTATGCAATCAGAAAAAGATTTGAAGGATTGAGAACATCTTACTTGGAACATGTCATAGCAAGAGCTGAAATTGTAGCAGAAGTTGTAAATGAAAAGGATCATATTTCACCACGATAGCCACCTGAACCAAAATAATCCCTTCTCGAACCAGCAATGGCCATGGTCTTCTGATGCTCCAGCTTAGGGCAATCACGAATCCGATGACCCAACCCGCCACAATAAGCGCAACCTTTCACCCCGCTCGCATCAGCCAGAGCTTCACTGTACTCCATCGGATCGTTCAGCTCTGCTAAAACCGGCGGGATCCTCTGCTTGGCTTCTTGCAACAAATGCTTTAGATCGAGGAGCGTGGTTTCGCTCTGGTTCTTGTTTATGAAAGTCGTCGCGATGCCGGTTTTACCGCACCTCCCCGTTCGCCCGATCCGGTGAACATAGTTCTCAATCTCGGCCGGCATGTCGTAGTTGATCACGTGCTGGATGTCGGGAAAATCAAGACCCTTGGACGCAACATCGGTGGCGACCAACACGTCCTTCTTCGCTGATTTGAAAGAAGCTATTGCGTACTCTCTTTCCTCCTGATCTTTTCCGCCGTGAATGGCGACCGCTTCAACTCCCTTGAGGAGAAGATATTCGTGGATGTCGTCCACGTCGGCCTTGTTTTCGCAAAAGACGAGGACGGGGGGCGGAGTCTTCTGGAGGCATTCAAGGAGGTAGACGATCTTCGCCTCCTGCTTGACGTACTCAACTTCCTGTATCACGTCGAGATTTGCCGCTCCGGCTCTTCCAACATTGACGGTGACGGGTTTTACCAAGGCGCTCCTCGCAAAGTTCTGAATCTTTTTTGGCATGGTGGCGGAGAAGAGAAGGGTCTGCCTCTGGTCTTTGAAATGGTCGAAAACCTCCCGTATGTCGTCCTCAAAGCCCAAATCAACCAGTCTATCCGCCTCATCCAATGTCAAATACCTGCACAAAGTAGCTGAGATTCAGGAAATAAAAAAAAATAACAGAGGTGAAGCGAAGAGAAAAATCCATATCAACCTTTTAAAAGGACCTTCGCACACATTTATTTTATAAATCATCAAAGATCAAGCCTAACACATTATAAGTTTTGAATCCTAATTCAGTAAAAGTAGTAAATTGTTGACTTTAAGTGTCATTTCAGTGATTCATGCATAACCCAAATATTCAAGCTACAATTGAGTACCGAAAAAGAAAATTAAAATCAAACAAGCTGCAGTACTGGCATTTGGAAAGGAGCAATCAAAGAAGGCTACAGTGCTCTAAAATAAAGACAAATAGAAAGCAACAGCAAACAGCTACAACTCCAGAAATAGAAACAAAACAATTAAAAAGCAGACAATTATAATCCATAATAACTAGGGGGCTGTGCTGGAGCCTTTTAAATACTATGTCTCACTGGATTTAACCTTCTAAAAAGGAATTCTTGCTGAATACAGTTTTCGCGGGTAAACCCAAGGGTTGGGTCGATTTAAGGATTTAAAATTTATGAATTTACTAAATCCTATTAACCCTAAATCCTACTTGCAGAAAAACACCACCTAGAGGGGCATTTGGCTACAATTAGGATTTAACTTAAGGCCGCAAGTAGGATTTAAGTTAAATAAGATTTTAGTAAATCCGTAAATCCTGATTTATCAAACGCAAATACTGTTAAATCCGAAATAATATTTGGTTCAATTAAGATTAAATCCATTTGACGTAATTAGCAAAATCTCTTTGAAGTGCTTTCTTCCTAAGCTAAATCAGTTAAATCCAACTAAATAGTTTAAATTTAATAAATCCGGATTTACGTCGCAAAATAAACGAAACGAGAAAAAATTGGATTTAGCATAGTGTCGGATTTATATAACCCATTTTTGGCGTTTGGTTGGTTTTAAGTTGAATTAATATGTAAATCCTAATAAAAGTATCATACCAAACACCACGTAAATTGAATTTATTAAATCGTTTAAATCCAGATTTCTCAAATCCAGATTCTCTTACATCCAAAAAAATGTGTTTTGAAGTGGAAGGCTTCAAATGCTGCTCAACCAACAATTAAAGCAGGGATCCTATAAAAAGTTTACAATAAATGATGTTGACAGACAATGAAGGTCACAACAAAATGAAAAACTAAAGAAATTTTGAGCAAGTATCGAGTGGTGGTAAAGCAGAGCAGGTTGGGAGTTTTTCTCTCTCTGGTGCCAATCCAAATTTGAGCTTGGTAACTTTAACCAACATTACTAGCACTTATAATTCAGTTATCAGCACTAAACAAAAAAAGATTATCAAAATCAACCTAGTATTAGGAGAATCATGTACATGTAAAGCAGTGCTAACCAAGTTAAATCAACAATAGACACAATATCTACTAATTCCTGGAATTCCCACTCACCAAGTCAGATAGAACATGTATTAGTAATCTATATACACAAACAAATCAATAGCAAACATATGATTAATAGCAAACATATGATCAACCAGTTAAAATAATATTGCTAAATGTGCAAACATCCTTCAACTCCATTCCAACGTTTTAGAAATATGTGCGTTGCTTAAAAGATGGGGCAGAATTTGCAATAATTGCCAGTTAAAATATTCAATAATTGGCAGCGACTAATGACCTGAAATCATCCGATGGAAGAAAAATCTGCAACTTTTAGAAATATGTGCGTTGCTTAAAAGATGGGGCAAAATTTGCAATAATTGCCAGTTAAAATATTCAAATAATTGGCAGCGACTAATGACCTGAAATCATTCGATGGAAGAAAAATCTGCAATATTACGGTACATATTCTGTGCCTGTCTGCTGCCTACTACTGGGATATGATTTCTGTCAATTTTCCGACAGGTAAATTATTGATCAAAAGCTATTGCAATCATCACATTTTGCAACATAAATCTCTCTTTCTATTACGGTACATATTCTGTGCCTGTCTGCTGCCTACTACTGGGATATGATTTCTGTCAATTTTCCGACAGGTAAATTATTGATCAAAAGCTATTGCAATCATCACATTTTGCAACATAAATCTCTCTTTCTATTACGGTACATATTCTGTGCCTGTCTGCTGCCTACTACTGGGATATGATTTCTGTCAATTTTCCGACAGGTAAATTATTGATCAAAAGCTATTGCAATCATCACATTTTGCAACATAAATCTCTCTTTCTATTACGGTACATATTCTGTGCCTGTCTGCTGCCTACTACTGGGATATGATTTCTGTCAATTTTCCGACAGGTAAATTATTGATCAAAAGCTATTGCAATCATCACATTTTGCAACATAAATCTCTCTTTCTATTACGGTACATATTCTGTGCCTGTCTGCTGCCTACTACTGGGATATGATTTCTGTCAATTTTCCGACAGGTAAATTATTGATCAAAAGCTATTGCAATCATCACATTTTGCAACATAAATCTCTCTTTCTATTACGGTACATATTCTGTGCCTGTCTGCTGCCTACTACTGGGATATGATTTCTGTCAATTTTCCGACAGGTAAATTATTGATCAAAAGCTATTGCAATCATCACATTTTGCAACATAAATCTCTCTTTCTATTACGGTACATATTCTGTGCCTGTCTGCTGCCTACTACTGGGATATGATTTCTGTCAATTTTCCGACAGGTAAATTATTGATCAAAAGCTATTGCAATCATCACATTTTGCAACATAAATCTCTCTTTCTATTACGGTACATATTCTGTGCCTGTCTGCTGCCTACTACTGGGATATGATTTCTGTCAATTTTCCGACAGGTAAATTATTGATCAAAAGCTATTGCAATCATCACATTTTGCAACATAAATCTCTCTTTCTATTACGGTACATATTCTGTGCCTGTCTGCTGCCTACTACTGGGATATGATTTCTGTCAATTTTCCGACAGGTAAATTATTGATCAAAAGCTATTGCAATCATCACATTTTGCAACATAAATCTCTCTTTCTATTACGGTACATATTCTGTGCCTGTCTGCTGCCTACTACTGGGATATGATTTCTGTCAATTTTCCGACAGGTAAATTATTGATCAAAAGCTATTGCAATCATCACATTTTGCAACATAAATCTCTCTTTCTATTACGGTACATATTCTGTGCCTGTCTGCTGCCTACTACTGGGATATGATTTCTGTCAATTTTCCGACAGGTAAATTATTGATCAAAAGCTATTGCAATCATCACATTTTGCAACATAAATCTCTCTTTCTATTACGGTACATATTCAGTGCCTGTCTGCTGCCTACTACTGGGATATGATTTCTGTCAATTTTCCGACAGCATTTTGAAAATATGGATAAAACTGTGCATTTGTGCGTATAAAAGGGTCAAAATTCACTTCAACTGGGGACAACTTAACGAACTTTTTTGATAGTGATATAATCTCTCCAAACACAAGATTTAAATATCTACCAACTATTTCGAAAGAGTGCTAAAAGAACTCACAAAGCTACATATAGCTATGAGTATGTGACACTTAAATTTTTTTTTTAATTGCTTTGTAACAATGTTTTTGTGTCACCTAATAATCAAAAAGTCCATCAATTATATAAAAACTTATGGTGGGAATAAAACAATTATATGATCTTGTTGGATGACTACCTAACACATCTACAACATTTTGTCGATTAGTAAGACCTATTAAACATGAGTCTCGAAATGTACTAATTATCATCTAAGGAATTATTTTCCTCCATAGTAGATGATATCAACTCAGTTATAGTATTGTTGGGCAGTAGATTTGTCAACCATCTAATAGATCTCTTCCAGAAATGTGCCCCTTAAAAAATTTGACACCGTAGCATTTTGGGTGAAATTAAATAAAAAATAAATTATTAAACAATAAATAGTTCATAATATAAAATTGTCAAGTAAAAATTAAAATATTCTTGACAAGAAGCATAAAGTATACAAATAAAAGATAATAGGGATTGTTTGAAATATAAAATAGACACTATCACAATATAAGAAAACACAAATAAAAGATAATAGAGATTGTTTGAAATATAAAATAGACACTATCACAATGTAAGCAAACGCAACACACTAAACTAATTTATCGCATCCAAGTCGAGTATGTGAGCAAGCAAGGGTGAGACCCAAGTACAAATTCAATTAAACTATGTAGCAATGACCCATTCCATGTCATCAAAGAAATTTTGTTGTATTGTCCGCCTTTCATGTTTTATGAATGGAAATTATAGCTCCGTTGAAAATGTTTGCGATATTGTCAAGCTTCACCGGACAATTAGAAGTTATGTATGGGGAATGAAGCTCCATGGTTTGTTGAAATAGATGTGTCTTTTTTGTTTATGACCTCTAGCAGAATTTTCATGTTATTTGTATTTGCTTCCATTTTATCAGAGAGTTTGTTGTAACAAACTCATGTTCTTGATTGTTGGCTATCACTCGATTGACCAGATACTTATTACATGTCGACATATTCATTTAATGGAGCATCTGGTTCTGGAGCAAACACAATTATCTCATTGAGGTAGCTTACTCTATTCATGGCCATAAAATCATCAATAAATGTGTTGATATCTTTTTCTTCAGTCTAATTTGAGGAGACCCCTTAGTTGTAATTATAGATATTCTCAATGGTAAATTAATGAAATTAGTTGATATTTTGATTCATAGGAAAATTAATATCTTATGTATTCAAGAAACTAAGTGGGTTGGAGAAAAGTCTAAGGAGATTGATAATTTAGGTTTTAAACTTTGGTATTCTGGTAAGAGTCGCACTAGAAATGGTGTAGGTGTAATTATAGATAAGAGTTTGAAAGATAATGTTGTAAAAATTAATAGAGTTGGTGATAGAATTATATCCCTTAAGATTATCATTGATACTAAGATTTTTAATATTATAAGTGTTTATGCTCCTCAAGTAGGTTTAGATACAGAGTCTAAAGATAAATTTTGGAATGACAAAGAAAACTTAATACAAATGAT